TCCGTACCTCTCATCAGCACCGTTCGGGGCTCTGGGCTGTCCACGCTTTCCTGAGACAAGGCAGGCTGTGAGTTGGGGTGGGAGCAGGTCACCCGGCAGGAAGGTGCCTGCAGGCTTCGGGGACCTGAGACTCCGACCTGACCCAGTGTTGGGGCTGCAGGCTCCAGGGCAGGGAGGCCCCTGAGAACCCAGTCTTTCTTTCCCTGGGTCCTGGCTCATGGTCCCGGGTCGCAAAGCTGTAGTACCCGCCTCACTCCACACTTGCTGGCCGTCGCCTGTCCCTCAAGGTCATGGCTGTGTGTCCTCTCCTTGGGAAGGCTCTCCCGGAGCTCCCCATGCACAGCTGTGCCTGACAAGCCCCACTCGGCACGCTCACCCCACACCCTGTTCTGCGTGGGGCCTCCCCATCGGGTAAGTAAATTCCTGTGAGTTCCGACCCTGGCAGCAGGGCTCCATGGCCCTGGGGGATGGGGCCGTGGCACCACAGATGGGGACACTGGCTCACTCCTGGGCCGCACCCTGTACTGTACACCCCACATGCCAGGGCTGCTGGGTGGCCCCCCTGGGCCTTGGAGACGAGAGCCAGTTGCCTGACGTGTCCACGCACCCTCAGCACGGGGACCCAGGGAGATGTTCTGAGCTATGGCTGGAGGGGGGAGGCAAGCTGGGAAGAGGGTCTGGGGCAGGGAGGCAGGCTGGCCTCTCCCTGTGGCATCTCCGGACTGAGAACCTTGAGCTGGAGGCTCCCAGGTGCCTGCGCCTCTGGACCCAGGCAAGGTTTGGGCTGCGCACCAACCTTCTGGGTGTCCTGGGGAGACTTGACCTTCAACAATGACCGTCCAGCCCCCTATTCCAGAGCACCTGGCACTTCCGAAGCAGGCACTCCTGCGAATCGTCCACTTCCGCTGGGCGAGACTGGCCCTGAGTCTGAAGGCCTCCTGTTGCGGTCTCTGAATTTCCGAGAGGAGACGGGGCTGCACCCCACTTCTTGGCCGGGGGACCCCCCTGCCTGGGCCAGGGTCTGTGATACGGCATGGGTGTATGTGGCTACAAGAACCATGGGGACCCAGCAGGGGATGTAGGGCCTGGTCCTGTAGAGCGGGGTGCTCGGGCCATGGCCAAGGTCTCAGCAGAGTTGAGGGTGTGGCCGTGCTTGGCCAAGAACCAAACTGGAGGGACAGGGCCAAGTGGCAGAGCTCCTGTGTGTGGCTCGTGGAAGGCCACGTGCTGGGGGGCTCTTGGGGCTGGACATGTGGTCACAGATCCAAGATGTATGGTAGACACTTACGAGGGACAGCGTCACATGTGCTGGGGCCGTCTCTGGCTCCTGGAGACCCTGCGCACACTCCGTAAGGATGGCGGACATGGTCGATGCCCGGCCTGCTGCCGTGGGCCTTTGTCTTGCTCTGTCTGCGGTGCCTGGGGGTTCACGCTCCTGGTGTGGCCGCGGCTTCCACACCACTGTGGGCAGAAGGCTGTGGTCGGGGATGCAGGCTGCCTGCAATCTGGTCTTCAGCGTGGAGAGCAGCAGGTCTGGCCATTGTCCTGGGGCCTGGGCGCTGGCTGGCTGGCACCACGCTTCCTGCCCTGTGCCCCCATGGGACAGCCCTCCTGGTTATTCCCGTCTGCTTGGCGAGCCCCACCTGAGGACCCAGCCAGGCGGACAGAGTGGTCTGCACCGACCTTAACCGTGGGGCCCGTGGCGGTAGCCTCAGGGCCCTGTGGGGGATGCAGCTTCTGTGCGGTCCACTGGGGCCATGAGGGGCAGATGGGGGGAGAGGGATCAGAGCACTTGCGTGGTGAATGCAGGAGCCGAGCCCTGCCCAGAGACCCCAGGGCAGCCTGTCCTCCCCAGAGCAGGTGGGGCGGCCTGCTGGCCAATAGGGCGTCCCTGCTCAGGAAGTCCCAGGAAAAACAAGCTCTTCTTGGTGCCGTTGCCGGCTGCCCGCTGGGGCCTGTGTAGTGACCTCACCTTTCCCGTTGTTTCCGAGTTGGGCGGGGTAGGAGGGACAGCGGGGGCTGGGGTGCTCTGGGACGGGGTCCGGGCTAGTGGGTGCGGGAGGAAAAAAGAGAGTTGGCCAAGGTTCTACTTATGCTGGGGGCGGTGACGGGGGCTCCTGGCTGGCCAGTGACAGCAGAGTGGGGGACTGCCCGGCCGTCTCCAGATTTCCAGGAACACCTGCTCTTCTCCTGGAGGCCCCGCCAGGCAGGAGGGCTTCCAGGAGCCGCTGGCCGCCCCCGGCACACCCCCAGCGACAAGCAGCCCCCTTGGGTCACTGGAATCCCGTGTTTCTCTTGCCGGGTGACGGGGTGCCCTGGCTGCCTCCCCTCGGGTCGACTGCGTTTTTCTAGTGAGGACGGCGGCTGATGGACGTGCAGGACATCTCCAGAGCTCGGTCGTGGAAAGGGGCGTGGGCAGTTTTAATGACCTCTGGGGGCTGAGTGGCATGACGCCTGCTTGCCTTTGGTGGGAGACCCTGAAACACTCAGTGGAAAGGGGTGGTCGTGGAGTTCTGGTGGCGCTGGCCCCTCGCCCCCCGGGAGCTCCCCCGGGGTTGGGCCATGACCTCCCCCGATGCCTCTCCTCATCCGTCCTCACAGCTTCTCCTCTGACCTCCACTCCCCAGGGTTGTGGATGGATGGAGGAGCTGGGGCTGCCCGACCCCAGCTGGACCCCTCCTGGAGCGGGAACAGCCTGGGGGGTTCCAGCTGCTCCCCGGCAGGGAGAGGTAAAGTGTTGGTGGGAGCAGGAATGGCCACGATCTGGAGAGTGTTGCTCAGGAAGGGACTGCTGCTCCAGTCGCCGGAGATTGCCGTCCTCAAAGTGTCGGGCCAGAGTGGGGGGCGGCTCGGGGAGGTGGGAGAGGCCATCCAGCACCCCCGTCTAGTCCACGCACGGTGACCGTCACTCTCACGCAGCTTCCCCGAGGCTGCCCCCAGTGGACCCTACCCAGTGACAGAGGGTCATTCTTCTGGGGGTCACTTCCTCGGGGACCAGTCAGGGCCTCTGCCTGGACAGGGAAGGGACTACACGCCAGGGCAGGGCAGAAAGCTCTGCTCGCTGAGGGTATGTTGCTCAGGCCTTGTCCCTCACAGGCCCGGGGACTGTAGAGCTAGTCTGGACGCAGCCAGCTTTCCCTGCAGGGCGTGTGGTCAGGCCTGGCCTTGGTGGGGGGCTGTTTCCAGCAGAGGCACCTGTCATCTGGGGGCCCCTCACTGCTTGTGCTCAGCCTGTGGTCCAGCGACGCTGGGGGGTGGCACGATGACAGAGGCCTCGGCCTCATGGGGCCCCCTTCTCAGGTCTCCTAGAGATGGGGCTGCCTGCCTCAGGGACACCTCAGTGATCCCAGATGTCTGTCTTCAAGGACAGTGGGAGGGACTCTGTTTGGAGCTGCCCAGTCTGTGGTGCTTTGTTCTGGCTGCCCTGGGGTGCTTGGGTTTGAGCCTGGCCTCAAAGCTAGCTGGGTGACCTCGGGCAGCTCTGGAGCCCCTCTGAGCCTCAGCCCCTTGTCTGAAAGGTGGGGGATGGAGGTGACCGTGTTCCCCGGGGTTATTGTCAAAATGGTAATAACCCAGGGAAGCCTCCCCCTGCCCCCCCCAGATGAGCGGGGACATGGTCATCACTGTCCTTGCACTGCCTGTCTCCTCTCTGTGCCCACTGCCCCTCCTTCCCCTGGGGCCTGCTGGTCCCGCCCCCTGAAACCCTGGGGCTGGGAGCACGGCCTGGTTTGCTGCAGCCAAGGGGGCCTTGTTTGCTCCTTGGAATCTTGGCCGTTGTGGATGGGGAAGGAGGAGGAGGAGGTCGGCCGCTTCCGCTCACAGGTGGGGTAGTTGCTCCCAGCTCTCTGCCCCCGGGGTCTTTCCTGGGCCCCCAGGAACCTGAAGGTGGGTCCAGGCCAGGATGGGCAGTGCTCCCCCGCCTCGGTGCAGCAGGGGGCACCGTCCTCTGTGTCCACCCTGTCCCACAGCCAGCGGCCTTGCGTGGGGACGTCTGGGGAGGTCAGAGCCTTGTCCCTTCCACCCGGCCTCATCCTTAGGGCTGCTTTGGGCTCCAGCTCCTCCCAGTCACTCCTGGCTCCTACCCCCTGTCTCCCTCCAGGCCAGGCCCCCGGGCAGATGTGGCGGGCACAGGGCTGGCCAGGGGACCTGACCCCTGCTGCCCTGGGCCAGCGTGGGGGAGCCCAGCACCGCGGCAGAACAGGGGGAAGGCACGAGGGTTTCTCCGTGCAGCTCTGTCTCCGGGGTCTGGCCCGCGAAAACGGACGAAAGCTCTGGCTCTGCTTGCGCGTGAGCGGAAGGCCCGCGCAGAAGCTCCTGTCCTTGGAGTTTTGTTGGTGTCGGTGTTCCGTGCTCGCAGGCTGGAAAGTCCCCTAGTGACAGACGGTGTGTGATGAGAGAATTCGTCTCCGCAGTCCGAAATGACGCACTTTCCTGCCATTTCTTATCCTGTGATGTTTCGATCGCGGCACCGTCTGCCCCCAACCCTAGAGAGCTCCCCCAAACCGGGAGGGCATGTCTCTCCAGCGACATCAGTCGCATACCCTGATGGTAGGACGCTGGGGTCCTTCAAAGCTGTGAGCCCCAGGGCTGTGTGCACAGCCACTGGCTTCCCCAGCCTCCCAGGCCGTGAGCAGCAGGAAGGAGCTGGAACAGGGGCCCCCTGTACCACGGGGAGCCCCACGGTCTGGGCTTTCGATTAGTCAATGATCCTGTCCCTTTTTCTGGGAAGTTCAGGGCCCCTGGGAGGGGGGATGGACTCAGATGGGGTGCAGGGCTAGGGGGCCCGGCCAGGAGGCACAGCGGGCACCCGGGCACTCCTGGGGTGGTGAGGGCCACTGGGAGCTGCGGGTCCTTGGGGATCCCTGGCGAGGCACAGAGCCTGAGAAATACGGCTCACATGGCCCGCGGTGGGTGCTGTGACCTGGTGCTGCGACCCTCAGGGGCCTGTCCCCCAGCACTTGACCCCAAGATGACCTCTCTCCTTTTCTGCTTCCCTCAAGGTCATGGACGATGAGAACACAGCTGGGCTGTTCTGGAACCTCCGACTTTGGGGTGCCCTCCACGTCCCCCATTCCATCGGAGGGACCCGCGTGCCTTCTGGCCAGCTGCGTGCAGAAACATGCCCGGCCTAGGGGGTCCGCCTGCCTGCGGTTCCCCAGAGAGAAGCAGGTGCGTCCCATGTGGAGGACGGCACCCCCGGGGCACGGGCTCCTCTGTGGATGTATTTGCTCCCCTCGTCAGACTCCGGGTGTTCTGGGCTGTGAAGTTCTGGGAGCCCAGCGACAGCCCCACTGCTGCCACCTCGCCTACAGAGTGGGGAGCGGCACCCCAGTGTCAGGCCTCGGGGCCAGGCCCAGCGCAGGGTCTCTGTGCCCTTGAGAACCAGGCAGCCTGCCTCCCCTACGTCCCTCCCAAAGCTGGGGTCCTGCCCGGCGCCCAGCCCCTGCCCTCGGGGGCCGCCGTGCCCCCCACCCCTGCCCGCGCTGTGGGCCTGGGGCGGCTGCCGCTCGGGGACCGCTCAGATGCCCACAGGAAAGCGACCTGGCCCCGCGTGTGTACAAACAGGCTCCCCTCTCCTTTCTGTCACTTTAAAGACCAAAAAGAGAAACAGAAAATGGCTTCTGCCCTTTGTTGAAACGTGAGCGAGAATAAAGGAAGGTCTGCGCAGAGGCTGTGCCCGGCCCTCCCGCGGGCATCCCGGGGGTCGGGGAGGATGCCTGCGGAGGGACATGGCAGCTTTGAGGAGCAGGTGGCCCCGGGTGGGAGTGGGGTGCACCCCCTTCCCTGCCTGCTCCCTGCGGCTCCCCTGGGTGGGGCAGCCTCGATCTCCGTCCCTCCAGGGATGCCTGCCGTCTCCTGGCCTCCTGGCCGGCTTATTCCAGCCGAGGGGCGCCCCAGGGAGGACTGACAGCTTGGCCTGTCCCTGGCTTTACCGGAGCACACGGAGGGCCCCGCTGCCCCAGCATCCAGCTCGAGGCCAGGCTGGGACGTGTGCCGGCGGGGGCGTCTTTCCTCCTGGCTCCTGTGGTTCTGGCCTTTACTCTTCCAAGTTGGGGGAGGGCAGAGCCGTGAGCCCCCAGAACGAGGCTCCCGGAAGGAGCTGTTCTGTCCAGACCCCTCCTGCCCTTCACCCCAGGCCCCCGCTGGGGAAGCCTCCCGTGGGTCCCACAGGCTGTGGCGGGGGTGCTTCGGGGACGGAGAGTCAGTACCACCTTCCCCTTGCCCTCCCCTCCCAAGAAGCCCCCTCCCTGCCCTCGCTCCACTGGTCCAGCCGAACCCGGACCCTCTGTGCTCACAGCTGCCCGAAGGTCTTCCCCGCCGGCTGAGCCCAGACCTTGGGTGCCCAGGGCTGCCGTGCCCACTGGGAGGTGACGGCTGGGTTGGGGGCCGGGGGCACCGCCAAGGCAGGGAGAGGGCGTTCTTGAAAACCTAGGCACGGCTCCTTGGAGAAACACGTGTCTCAACTGGAGTACTGGGGACTCAGGGTCCCTGAGCCAGAGGCCCTCACACAGCCCAGGACTGGGCATTTTCCGCACCCCCGCCTGGCCCGGCTCCCGGCCCAGTGCCTGCAGGTCAATGCGGCACAGCCAGCCCCCCCGGGCCACCAGCATGTGGGGGTTTGCCCCCGGGCACCCTGGCCCAGAACCCCAGAGCCCAGAGAGGGCTCCTGCAGGACACAGGCCAGCGGTCCCAAGACCCCTGTCCCCAGCCCCTGTCCCCTTCCCGGCGGGGACCCTACAGGCTGCAGCCTGGCCCTGGACAGCCCTCAATCTGCCCTGTGCCCCACCCACGGCCAATGTCACTCAGTCCCACCCGTGGCCTGGGGTCTCCAGCGGCCTGCTGGCTCAGTGCCAGCCCTGCGTGGCCCCCCCCAGGCGGCCCCGCTGAAGCGGTGGATGAGAGCCAGCCTCACTCCCCCTCCCCAACCCTCCCCAGCCGGGAGCATTGGGGTGGGGGGGCACTGGCCGCTGGGCGTGCAGGGGTGGACAGCAGTTCTAATTAAAAGGGAAGGCAGCTTTTTTTTTTTTTTTTCAGTATTTGAAGCTGTTTCTCTAAGCAGCAAATTAATCACGGTTTCTTGTCCATTCGATTTCATGGCAGCCCACAGCAGGCCTGTCTGTATGATAGCTGTTCTTCCCGGGGACTGGGGGGCAAGGGCCTACCCCCGGCGCCGGTCCCCTGAGCTGGGGAGGGGGCTGGTCCCTGGCGACACCCGGGTGCCCTGCTCCCCAACCCGTCCCACACCTGGCTGGGGCCCAGCACAACGGCAGCAGGAAGCAGGTGGGCGTCCCAGGGGAGGGGGAGCTGTCTGGGGACAGGCGCTGGGGGCTTTCTAGGAAAGGTTCAGGGGAGGAGGAAGGCTCCCGCCAGCTTGTAGGAGGGAGCTGGGGGAGTCCTCTCCGCAGCGGGACCCCGCCCAGGAGCATGCCTGGGCCAGAGGGGCTGGCCTGCTCAGTGCGATGAGGTCCGGGGTGTAGATGGGCTGTGAGGCTGGGGGCATCAAGGGAGGCCAGAGGGAGCCTTCCCGGGACCCTTCCACTCTGGGTCCTGGCTTCTCGCGCGTCCCGCCTGTGGGAGCTGGTCTGCTCTGAGAACAGGGCCGGCTGGGCCTCCCCTAGCCTGTCCTCCCCGACCCCTACGGACGGAGTCCGTCTCCTTAGCCTTCACGTGGACTGTTTGAGGGTACGGGGCGAGTGTGGTCCCAGGAGCAGCTGGACCCAGCCTGGAAGCTCCTGGGCCAGATGCCCGGGGCCGGGGGAAGCCTCCCCGTGGCCCCGCAGCCCCCAGCCCCACAGGCCCCTCAGATACCGGGAGGAGGAACAGCCAGCGCTGCTCCCCCACAAGTCACCAGCACCCTCACTTCCCACAGGGCTGGTTGTCATCCCTGGCCCCTTGGCCAGCTGCCATTGCTTCTGGTAGGGGCAGGCTGGCCTGGGGAGGACAGGAGGGCAGCAGACGGGCATTCTGTCACGTGCCCTGTCCCAGCCTCAGCCCTGCTCTTCCAAGGCAGGGGTCCCCGTGCCCCACTCTGGGCTGCAGCTGAGGGTCAGGAACAGGCCCACTCTGCTCTCCGGGGCCACCGTCTTGCCACCTGTTTGAGGGCCTCCAGCCAGGGGACCGCTTCTGCCCATTCCCTGGCTGCCGGCGGCCTAGTCCCCAGTGCCCCCCTCGGCCTGGATGTGTTGCAGTCACCAGCACCACCAAGCCCACATGGGCTCTCGGGGCCCGGGCCTGGGGTCTCCATAGCATGGGCACTTACGGGTTGAACCCGTGTTGAGGAGAAGGACGGTGGGGCCCTCAGCTCACAGCTCGTGGCCGCATGGCTCCCACCTGACACCGTGGGGGGACGGCTGGACTTTCGGTGTCTCTCCAGACCAGCCCATCTGGGCAGAGGGACGCCGAATCTGAGGAGGGGCGGGAGGCGGGTCTCGGGGCCAGAGGGGCTTCTTTCGTGACAGACGGGGCCCGTGGATGGAGGAGGGAGACCCGAACTTGCCAAGCAGCCCCCGAAACCAGCCTCCTGTGCGGGTCCTCTGCGATGACGCCCCCTCTCTGGTCCCCATGGCAACCTGGGGTGCTGCCCCGTTGTTCAGTTGGTGAGCCAAGGCCCGGAGGGCGTGACTCGCTCAGGGCACTGCCGATGGGACTTGGCACCGAGGCTAAGGCTCATCCCGGAGGCCGACCCCTCCACCCAGCCCTCGGACCCCACAGGCTCTGTGACCTGGCCACATGGGGCCGTGTGAGGCTGCACAGGGGTTGGGCCCTGGGGCAGCCCGGGCTCCACGATGGGCACAGGGTGCTGTGCCACAGACGCGGTGGGAAGGTGGGGCCCTGGGCCTCGGGACAGCCGGCTTCTCCCCTGTAGATCGCAGGATCCACCCTGTGCGTCCTGCTCGGACGCTCTTGGGGGCCGTGGGGGTGAGGGGGGAGAGCAAACACACATCACGTCCTCACCATGACTGGGGGTCTTTGCCATGCAAGGGACCTGCCAGTGACCACAGTGCCCACATCTTCTAGCTGGAGAGATGGAGGCCCCTGGGCCATCACGCTGGTTCTCACCCCCTGTCCGCTGACAGAAGGACCCCGAAACCCTGCACACTCTGGGTCCTGCAGACGTGCCCACCTCCCCCGCCGCCCCTCCCCCATCCTGCAGGACGCTCCTTCAGGCACCAGCTGGGTCCCCCCACAGGTGCCTGTTCCTCTGATGGGTCCTTCCTGTCACTGGTCTCCCTGGTTGAGCTCGCTGTGTTTCCGGGCCTGTCTGTGTCCCCACCGCCATCTCGCAGTGGACGTCAAACCTTCAGGGTCCTGGCATGTGATGTTGGCGGGGACATGGAGGGCGGGCCCAGCCGGACATGTACTCCCTGGCCTGGGGTCTTATTACGGGGGCTTGGCTTCTGCAGGAAGGCTGTGTTCTCGGGGCCATGAACCGGGGCCCCAGAGCTCTGTCCAGATGAGTCACAGCGGGAGCAAGCCTCTGCTGGCCGACGGCACTCCCCACGGACACCGTCACTCTGGGCTGAGTTCTAGAGGAATCCTTGCTTTCTGATTCACATATTGTGCCTCTTTTTCCTTGAAATATTTAATGTGTTACATTCCAACTTTAAACACATCAGCTCCGAAGCAGGCTAATCGCTTAGCTTGTTAAACTGAATTTGCCTCCGAGATTTAAAATGGAAAAAGAAATCCTGCCGGAGCTATACATCCAAACCGCGGATGGCCTTCCGCAGGAGGGTGACTCTCTTTCCCCAGGGCTCCGTGCTGGGTCGGTACTTGCCGGGAGTGGCAATGCTCGCCCGCCGGTGCAATCTCGCCCGCCGGCGCGGTGTCCAGGCCACGCGCAGATGGGAAACGGCGCTGCAGAAACGCACACACCTTGTCTCTTTTCAGAAACGAGCTTCCTGGTTTGATTACTCCGAGTGCTGAGTATGAGTACGAACGCTGAGATGAAACCACATGTACATTCAGGAGGAAAGCATTAACCAAGAATTTCAGATCTGCAAAGCTGGGACTGGAAGGTTCTGGGCATGTCTTGGGGGACTGTGGCCGGACGCCGGGGGCCTACGTGCCCACGTCAACACAGACTGCGCCTTCTCTGCCATCGCTGTTTCCGGGGTCTGCTGTACCATGGCTGTCCCGTGGCTGTCCCGTGACTGTCCCGCC